TTGTTGTTCTCAACATACCTCACTCTACCTCACTCTACCTCACAGACACGTATTAATGCAAATATACTTTAATCTTGGAAAAGGATTTTCGAATTTATAAAAGAGGAAAAAAGTAATTGTTATATGAAAATTATATGGTTTAGTCAATAATATAGACGGCTTTAGAATCCCCTTAAAGTTCATTATTTCCACATTCTTCTATCTCGTAAGGATATAACTGATATAAATTTACATAATATACTAATAAAAAATATAACTGAAATTAAAATTTTTTTATGGTGTTCGAAGTATCCCATTTACCAACTTGTATCTTTAAACCATCTACCTACTTAACTTTTAATAAGCTCTCGTATCTCAAACAAAATTTATTTAAATATGCTTAACAGAATTAATTTATTGAGATTCGATTTTATTTACCAAGTGTGTCAAATTATTAAACGGTATATTCATTATGAAAACAGCATACTTCACCATCAGCTAAAAATATTAAATTGCGTGTGCACGCTACTTAATAAAATTTTTTATAGAGTGAATAATCGCGAAAACCTGTTCTTTGGTATGTGAACGATTACATGCACGATTAATCGATGCGATTAGGGCACGATTAAGCGATTGTAGAAGACGCATCGCCGGGCCCACGCGCGTCAGGTGAAATATAATTTATATTTATACCGCGTAATACCGTGTATACGTCCTCCTGAGTCCCCTCTGGATCTCGGGGCCCGTTCGAAGTATAAATAATTACTATCTCCGGTTTTTGCCGCCGGAGGCGGGCGATTCATAACTCAGAGGACGCTCCCTGTTGATTCCCTAATTTTCAACGAGATACGGAAAGCCGAGCGCTACTTTTAGGAAAGGTGGAGAGGCGCTATTTCGTTACATTATTTACGTTAATGCGTCTGTGGACTAAATATAGTCAATAAAATATCGAAACTTATTGGTAATGAAATACCAGCCATAATAATCGGCAAATCTGTTACACACGATAATACCGCACGCTGAAGAGAGAAGAGACGAGATCGTTTTGGTCAACACATTCATTGCGTCGTAATAAAGAATTGGATATATCAATAGAAATTCAATCATGGTATTCGATAAAATTTTTATAATTTCATCATCGACGTGTTTATATGTACAATGAACTTTAAACCCTATACTTTATGTATGTATATACATATAAGAGAAATATCTTTTAAAAATATAAATAATCTTCTCTACTTCAAAAAAACACTTCGTAAATTTTAGTGATAAAACTTGCGTCATAGAGAAACCGACCTTCGGGAACGAAACTCTTCTTGACGAATACAAGACCGAGAACGGTCGTACACTCGAGAATTTCGTTCCTCAATGGAGAATATAAAGTTATTAGAATTAGATTTAAGGAGAATAAAACTCTCAGGCGCTTAAGTCAGTAATCTAACGAGCATCTCGTGCACTATTCGCCCGCACTTTTTTTCCTGACTTACTTCATCGTTTTCTTCGTGGTTTATAACTTGCATTTCTTTTTATCCTGAATAAATTAATCCAAGAACTTTCACGCTAATACTGATATACTGTTTATATAAATGAAAACATCGCTTTCTCTTTTTCTACAAGTTCCCCAGCCTCTCTGTCTCCCTCTCTCTCTTTCTCTTTTTCTTAGAAATAGCGACGCATTCCGTCCATTTACTGCAATCTGCATAATTACATTTTATTTCATTTCATCTACTTGTATAATTATTCTCCCTCTTCTTTTTCCTTTCTTTCTCTTATTCGTCCCGTAAGGAAAAAAAATTCCATGTCGACGGTGCTTGGCAGCACTCTCGCGGCTTGGCATTCCGCGATCCGCCATTGGCTCCCCTCGCCCGCATCAATTAGGTATTTTAATCGGAAAGGCACCGCGGAATAGTTGCGATACTACAACGGCGCGCATTTACGATACGTGGCACACAGGCAGTCAGGCAGGCATACCCAGAGAATTGGAACGTGGTTACGTTAACATAATGGAATTCCGCGGAATGTTATAACCATTATATACGTATAGCAGATTACGTCACGGTGTGCGGCGGGGGCTCGGCTGTGTGCGCCCTGAGAAGAGAGGAAAAAAAAAATAAATAAAATGCCGCGCGAGCTGGTCGCTCACTTTAATTTCTCAGATTGAACTCGACTGACGAGCGCGGAGTCAGTCTTGCTCCGTGCTTTTCCGCGCGTAAACGCTCGTAAGCGACGCGGCGTGTCCTTCACCAAGTGCAAGTTTCTTCCAGTGTCGTCCGATACTACCACTCTCGGATATCCACGCCCGAAAATCCCCGGATGAAAATTTAAACGTGCTCGCATTTAAGTTTCACTGCTACCTCGAACATTCGTTTTCTGGGTGCACGTAAGACACGCCGAGTGAAGGCTCTGATCCATATAACGAATAAATCCCGCTGCGTCGATCGCGGATGCATTCAGCGTCGGGTAGGATAATAATTAAACTTATTTAACTTTCCGATTAGCTTTGGAACTCGATACTCTCATACAGAATTCTCATGTAACGTTAGATATTCATATATTAAGACTTTTATCCCACTTATCGGATTATGTTACATAAGCAACGTAAAAACGTAGCTGTCGATGTAAATTATAAAATATATACGTAATATATACATCTGGATAAGATAAACCTTGAATATAATGCATCAGAGTGTTGATTATCTCCGACTGTGGAATTCTAGACAACAGTTTTTACAAGAAAAATATATGCATACGATCACTTTAAATTTAATCAAGATAGCGAACAGTCCATACATCGATCGTATTGTTGATACAAATAAGCGGCATAATTACACGCACGGTATCGCGAAAGGGAATAAACGTGAACGTTGCTGAAAGCACAGAGAAAGAGAGAGCGAGAGAGAGAATATATTTTGTTAAGCGAAGTTAACTGTTCGGCCTAAGTCGGCGTAACCTGCCCCCTACGTCCGGCGGTCGTCGTGCTAGTTACAAAACGGCTTGTAACTAGCCGCACGCTTAATAACTTGCACCGGTAGCGGACGATAAATAATGCAGGAGACACCGTCGTCCCGATGTAATTAACGAGAACAGTCGATACCCCAGGCGTGCGCGCGCGCGGGTGCGTGTATGCGTGCGTGCGTGCATGCGTGCGTGCGTAGGTGCGTGTATGTGTGCGTGCGTGCGTGCGTGCGTGCGTGCGTGTGTGCGCGCGTGTTTGTGTCACGTCCGCGCGCGAACGAGCGCGGTCAATATTTGTCATCCGCTTTAACAAAAAGAACGTTACAAAACGCTCGGCCGGATGCACCCCGGCCAAATATTGACTGCGCTCATTGACGTTCATTGATACTCTCAATTAGCGCATACCGTCGAAGCCAATCGCCGGGTAATTGGGATGGCCCTCCACCTCCGTCCGCGGAAAAGCGCGCGGGAC